TCCCGAACGCGCTCCAAGGCAGACGATGCCCGAACAATGGCATCTCCGCTTAGGCGACCGTCGGCTCCAAGGTCGTTCAGACACACGCCGAGCAGATCAAGACCTTTGCGCTCAAGTACTTGCGATGGTGAGAGTGACAGGACTTCTCGCAACTGGGCTAGGGCGCTTGGATCGGCAGCCTCAGTCGGAGCGGCCGAAGGGCCGGACTCTGCGGTCGTGCTGGAGAGGAGAGCTTTGAATTCAACCTCCCATGAAGCCTGCACGAATAAACAAGGTTAAGCTTAAAGGAAGTCATGACAAGAATAGCAAGAGGGTGTCGTTTTTAACCTGCCGAGAGGAGACCTCGGCCATGTCCCCAGGGTCGTTGCTCGAACCTAAAGAACTCAATGGCCGAGCCCAGTGTCTCAGATTGCTTCTCACTTCACGCGGCCGATGGAGGTTATCTACGTTTGATGGCCACTGAGGCGGCCAGGAAATATAGATAACGCCCTTCGGCGCATAGAATTGACGGTGAAAAGAATGTACAGGCACCTGACATTTAGTTTTTTCCTTGTTTAGAATTCTAAAGCAGAAAAGCAATCATCAGGAGGAAAATTGAAGGTACTTACAAAGGCCGAGGTAACCTCCTGTGGAGGGATGTGGAAGCCTTGGTCTTGAGGATGGACCGGCGATTCCGCCGTGGCCTCGGGTTCCTCGAGCAGGCGTTTGCCACGGTCGGCTGCCGATGGGCCGACTGGCGCAACTGCTTCAGTGGAGGCAGAGACGTCCTGGTCTTGAGAAGGAACGAGAGGTTCGGCCGCCGGGGTCGGTTCCTCGACCGTGCGCTTGCCACGATTAGCCGAGGAGGGGCCGGGTTGAACCGCCATCTCGGATACTGGAGGAGGTTGTTGACGAGTAGGAGGACGACGCGCCAGCGGGACCTCGTCGCTCCCCTCACTCTATTCCAGCACGAAAACCGTGGGCTTTGGATTCTTGGGAGAGGTTTCCTCGGTCGTAGGAACCGCCTGGTGTGAGACAGGTGCCTTCTCGACAGAGGGAGGTACGACTGATTCGCCGGCCACAGAGGCAGGCCGCGCTGGGACCGTCTCTATGGCCGAAGCCGGCTGTTTCTTGACCCCAGAATGGCCGGCGGCGGGAGAAGGGGAAGCACTGGGAGTCGTCGTGTGGCTGGAGATGACGTGGATCTCCCGTGTACCTTTCTTCGCCAGTTGTTTGACCCGCTTGGCAGGCGGGGAAGGCTCGATAGCCGGCCCGGCCTCTTGGCGAGGCCGTTTGATCAGCACGGCCCTACCAGCAGGTTTGTCCTTTTTGGCCACGACCGATTTTTTCCCGGCCGTAGCAGCGGCAACTGCCTCCGTCTTTCTCAAAGGCCGACTACCTAAAAGGATAAAGACAATTCAGTAGGGCGTACAATATGCAAGGTTGAAGAAAAAGGGGGAATTGAACAACTACCTTGAGAATAGGGGGCCGGGGCTTTCTTAGGTCGGTCACCGAAGAGCCTGCTTAGTACATCTTCGACCGGCGCACCGAAGAACTCCTGAGTGTAATTTTCCCACCACTCACCGAAGGTGTCAGTGCAATGGGTTTCTGGGGTGGCCGGTCGTAGGCGAAATCTTTGGCAGTACTCTTGAAACTCCTTCGCGGCAGTCCTGCACTCGTTCTCTGAAGAGCGAGGCTCGCGTCCGCGGCTCAATACTGTGCGGGAAGAGAGAAGGGGGACGGGATAGCCCTGAAGATAGCCGAGCTGACGGGCAAGGAAGTTCGGATGGTACACTTCCCACCCCGACCGTTTCCCGTTGCAGCCGAGAGGAAGGTCGCGAGCAATTCACAAATGACCCCCAGGTCTGACGAAGATCGGCGTCCTCTTCCGCGCTCCATGGGGAGGTAGGCAGCCTGATGGAGGAAGGATAGTCTCGACGACGACATATTAGGAACTCGTCGTTGGAGAAGTCGTCGAGAGCAAAGAGGTACCGAAATACCTCTTCGGCTTGATGGGGAGGTGTCGGTCGAGAGGCCAGTTGAGGTCCAAGCGCCTCTGTTGGTGAGAATTCAGCTATGGCCGGCCGAAGGGAGGCGAAGTATACCTGCAACCAGAGCTGGAAGACCCAGAGAGGACCATTCTGGTGTGGATCCACCTTGTGGAGGGTCGCCTCGGCCAGGCAGCGGAAAAGTTGGGCGAGAATATTGGAACTCAGTGCCAAGACGTGACCACTAGCCAGGGCTTCGGCTACCGGCATGTTCTCGACCAAGCACTTATTTGACTTGGTACAACAAACGTATTTGTTGTACCAGTAGAAGAGGAAGGCTTCGTGCTCTCCCTCTCGCAGGTCCTCTTCTCCTCGGCCGGCGAAGTGAAGATAGAGGGTGTTGTAATTGCAGAAGTTCTTGTGGAGCTTCTGAATATCTTCCTTCGACGGGATATGACCGTCACGGTTCAAGGTCTCGAAGGCCCGACGGTCGAAGAGCGTTTTCAGGTCGATGTTCGACGGATGCCCAGAGAGAGTCGCGTCGACAGGGATCCCGGTCGCCGAAGTCCCCAGAATGGCAGTGATATCCAGGACGGTGGGACCAATGGGACCCAGAGGAAGGACCATTGTGTTGGTGGCCGAGCACCAGAAGCACAGAGCGTCTTGGAGAAGCTCCTTGTCGGGGACGATTTCCATAGACGAAAGGAGAATGGCGTCGTAGATGCCAAGGGCCTTCCATTGCTTGCCGAAGAGTCGTTCCATTCGAACAACCCAGGCTACCCAGGATGTGGTCGTCGAGGGCCAGGAGCCCTGGGGTTTAGCCGCATCACATCGCGACCATTCAAACCCTTGAAGCAAGGGTGTTAGGCAGTGCTCCTGAAGAAGGCCGATGATAGTCGGCGGAATTGTAGCCTTGAAGAGAGGACCCAGGATTTGGTACTGGGTGTTCATGTCGTTTTCAAACCGGATGGTCTTGATCGAGCTCCGATTAACAATCTTCTGATGTTGGTCACATTCCCTGGAAAGCTTGGAGATGAAGGACGCCATTGCAAGAAAGAGACACGGAGTAAAAGGGTTGTCTGGGTTGGGGATTTAAAGACGGAAGACTCGGAATAGGAGAGATGCACTAGAAATCAATGGCAGAGGATTTCAGGAAGTTTGAGAGCGTAAAAGAACAAATGAGGGGATTTCGGTATTTATAGAGTTACGGGGGGGAAGAGCAATCGTTCGAAATTCAAAACAAAGGGCAAAATCGACCGGAGGAATCGTTGATCATAATGAATATTTGGGAAGTGCGGTTGAGAAGACCGACGGTTTTAGGTTTTGGGGGCGCACGATTGCGTGTGACGGCGAAGTTAATGACGAAAGACGATTCGACGCCTGCACGATGACAGGTGGGCTCACGGACTGATGTGCTGGCTCGCGGATTGAGATAGTGGTCATAATGGCAAGACGGTTCGGGTAGGCGCACGCTTCAGACGTCATTATCGGGGATTGGCCATGTTAGAGGATGCCACTTGGCGAGTGGTTTAGCAGGATCAAGATCGTGCGATCGTGTTCAATAAATGCGCCTTGGAACTCGGGTATTGGGATCCTGAGTGGTAGATTCGCTTCTTCAAGGCCGAAACTCGGCCGAAGGTTTCAGGCCGAGGACCTCAGAAGCGAGGGGGCAATGTTTGGGCCCAAAATAACAGTTTGGGCCGAGGGAGGAATCACTTTTGGCCCGGGAAGACGTACGGCGAGAGGGTCGTAGGACGTTCAGCTCATGGGCTTCCAAGCCTAGGTCGGTTAAATCAGAATGCAAGTCGAGTCCTAATACAATAGGGACCCTTGACGAGATCTGTAAAACTAGAAGGCGAATCCGGCTCAGTTAAGGACTAGATTCGAGTCCTAGTAGAGATAGGACTGATCGAGGTAATCCGGAGAGGGAAACCTAGTTCAAGTAGGATTGGAACTCGGGCTCGGTGTTCTGCTACTATAAATACAAGACATTCAGCAATGGAAAAGGACCCACAAAATCAATACAAAATTGCCCCACGCAAACTCTCACAACTTGAGATCTTTTTCTTTTCCTTTTTCGCTGACACATCTTCCGTTGGCATCAACAGCACTGTGGAAGCAACCGGTGATATCTTAAGTCGGCATAGATAGCTCTGTCACCGTAGAGTCAGTCGGTCTCGCAGTATCTTCCGTTGGCATCAACAGCACTGCGGCGAGAACGATTGATTACCTATCCAAGTCTCGGTCGAGAAGGGTTTCTAAATCCTTATTGGTCGAGGTCATCTCATCAGCCTTCTCGGCGAAGTGAGGTGTTACAGTTATTACATTCGGCACATTGCAAGCCGAATTCGGTTCGTGAACTTTGTAAGAAATAGCAGCCTTGTCTTCAGGCTTGAGAACCCAAGAGGCCGAGACGTGTTCCTTTCTCGGCCGCAATCGCAAGACGCAGAAGTCAGTAGCGCGACTCGACACAGCATTATCAAATTTACTCCTCGGCCGAGCCTCGGCCGACGAGTTGGCACGCCCCGCAATCACCGAAGGACGTAGTTAGCTCATTAATTACTCGGTCTGCGCGCCACGTAGGCTTTGTAGTTTCTAGGGTCAACAACTGTTCATTAAAATATTAATATCTTGGAGGGCCCGAGGGCTAAAATGAGCCATCTTACCAGCCTTCGGTTGGAGATAGCCTTAGTAGTGACTTGTTCATACAGTAACCTAATCTTCTTGCTTAAAATTAAGAGTTTCGGTTATTTGAATCGAGCCTATTTTTCTGAGTCAAATGTTGTGACATAATATTTACTTATATGGCCCATCTGTAGTTGACATGATATTTACCAATTATATGGTCCATCTTGCTTAAAATTAAGCTCTTGCACGTTGCTTTTCTTTGATGTTTTTTTAATATTTGCCACCCTTGTATTGTATTCTAATTAGGTTTCAACCTACATCGTATGTTACCACCAAAAAAAAAAAAAAAAAAAACCTATTTAAAAAAAAAATAATCAACGCATAAAAACACATTTTTGCTATGTGTTTTGTTTTATTTTGTTTAGCATTAAAAATAATAATAATCAACGCATAAAAACACATTTTTGCAATGTGTTTTGTTTTATTTTGTTTAGTATTTTTCCTTCATTATTGGGTGCGATGGCGGGTCCGAGAGACTCTCATGAGTCATGTCCGGGCCCCAAACACACCATCCACATTCCAGATTTGATGTTCCAATCCGTCCCCAAAAGAAACGGCACGATTGGTTTTATACTTTCGGCCAAGTTATTCACAGGTGCAGAAAAACGGAACCCTATTGCCTTTTCACTTGTCTCTTCGCGTTACCCAACAGATCAAATCGGTTGATCAAAATTCAGTTCTGATCTAATATTCTAAGAAGAGCAGCTTTGATACTCTCTTCACTTCTCATGTTATCAGGCACCTTCACCACAACATCTTGCAGCATGAGCTCGTTCATGCATGACAAGCTCGCATGGTACATCTCAAAGTCCAAGTCACGCAGCGCCGCCATTAACCTAGCTGACGGGTAGTTCACATTCTCGGACCGAACCCTAATCATGGCGTCCGAACACACTATCTTCACCTCCACCTCGAGCCCCGTAGACCCACTCACCAACGAGTTGGGCGGCCGCGTTTGATCCACCGACGTCGTGCTGCTCTGATTGTCCAAGTTGTCGACGGTCTCGGCTTTCACTTTCTTGGACTCTCTCTGCACCTGCGACTCCATCTCGTCCACCTTGCTCTTCAGCTCGATGATGTACGAAACGGCGTCGGACAGCAACGATGCCTTGTCCATTCTCGATACGTTCGGCACCACTGCTCGTAGGGCGCAGAACCGGTGGTTGAGCTTCTCCCGCCGCTGCCTCTCCGCTTCCACGTGGTCCAACGTTGTGTCTAGCCCAAGGCCCGGTTTTCGCCCTCGCTTTTTCGGCGTCCGTTTGGGAAACTCCGAATCCGAAGGTTCCGGGTTAAGGTTATTTAGATTCGAAAACGGTATGGAACCCGGACATGCTCTTCCGCACGTCTTCTTCATCACCGTTATATCCAAGGGGACTTCCTTTTTGTTTTTTTCTTCCTGAACGCCGGCGATGATGTCAAAGTCGGAGAAGGAGAAGTTTCGGTTGATTAGATTGATGGGGGATCTGGTTCCCGGTTCTTGTTGGTCCGAAACAAGGTCCGACCAGAATAAGGATTTCGTTTGCTGAACCAGGTTCCAGTTTTCTCTGATCAAATCTGAAGAACCCAGCTCGAGAACTCCGGTGGGGGTTGGGATGCAGACTAGGGTTTGAATCCCATGCATTTGTGCTTCTTTTGCTCTTTCGCAGACGTAGGATTGGAGCTCATGGCTTCCAGTCAGCCACACCAAAGATCCAGAGCTAAAAGCCTTGCCGGGAACATTAGTATTAATGCTTTCACCGACGGAGAAGGATCGAGCGAACGACCTGACGAAGAACCCCTCGATGTTGGTGGTGTTGGCGTTTAAGCCCATGTTGTAGAGATAATGGTTATCTGGATTGTTGGTGTCGTTGATGAGGGATTGGATGCCCTTGAGGATCTTCCTTCTTTCGGATAGAACTTCGTAGGGGTTGTGGTGGTGGTTGTTGGGTGATGCGTCTTTGGGGCGTTGGAAATGGCCGTCTCCCCAGGTCAGGAAGAGACAACCATTGTCCACCAGGTGGTCGTTCGAGGTTTGCCAGAAGATGGCGTATGACCACCAGTCTGGCTGGGATTGAAGAATGAATTGGAGCCTTTGTTGGAGGGATGGATGGTTTTCTTGAGGCAAGGAGACTAGGGATGAGGATGAAGAGGGGGAGATTATTAATTCTTCCATAAGTGGTGAGGCCAAAACTTTTGTGGGGAGATTGAGTCCCGAATTTAGTGGGAACTCAATTAGTACTTGGAGAGTGAAAGATGCTAGAGGAGTAGTTTAGAACAAAAGAGATTGCTTGAGGGAGAGATGGGTCCTTACAAAAGTTGGGGTGGATGGGGCTTTATATATGGTCCATGGATACTCAGATTTTCTGAAACCGAGAGTGAGCAGTGTGAGAGTGTAATGTGGGGTCCAAGTTTGGTGTTGCTTGGGTTCAAATTTAAATAAATTGGTCCCGGGACCCAGGCCAAGAGAAAAACAGAAAATTAATTTAAAGATAATACTTTTAGGGTGCGTTTGTTGCACCAGACTGTCTCGGACTGAACTAGCTACTGGAACTAAGCTGGACTGATTTAGACTAGATTAAGCTGGACTAGCTTAGTGAAATGTTTGGTGCAGTGTTTGACTATAAAACCAGATAATAAACAAACTATAATATTATATTGTTTAATGCATATATTATAATATTTTATTTTATTTAATGTATATATTGTAATATTTTATATTATTTGATGCATACATAATAATATTTTATTATTTATTCAACCTTTTAACCTTTTTTTCTCCTGGAAAACTATCACTCTGGAATCATCTCTTCTTTTCTCCTTCTGGCTCCGTCCATTTCTTCTTTTCTCCCTCATTTTCATGCACAACGCAGGTGTGAAGCTCATCGCAAATCCTTCAAAAACAAGCTCATCATCTTCACCCTCTTGCTGCCATTAAGCATATCCACCTTCCTCATCCTTTTTTCTTCTAAAAATTTTCGGATCTCTCTCTTCCATCTGATACATGTGTTGGCTTCTCCGCCTGCAAAGCCATCTCGGAATTTTCTGGCACGGGGTGGACTTTGAATTTCGTGGTTGGATTTGGTTGTTGTTATTGTTTTGCGTTTTATTTTTAATTTTTTAATTTTGTGGTTGGATTTTGAGATTTAGGCAGCGAGTGAGGCTTTTGTTTCAAATCTGGGGGGTGGGCAAACGGTGTTGCAGAGAAGAACGCTTGCAGACGATGCAGTATGTAGATGATGCAACGGGCAAACGAAACAGATTTGAGGACGGGATTAGCAATCCCATACCTATCAGGGATCCTCGCTAAGACGACCTAGCGAAAGACTTAGTCGGTGCGAGTCCAACATAGGTCTGGTTCGGTAATACGGTGATTCTAAAAAAAATTGGTATAAAAAAAAACTGGGAGCTTTTTTGTGTTCGGTAAACATTCCGTTTCAGTTTTTTTTCACAGATTTGGGTAAAAAAAAAAGCCGAAAATAAGAAGCTACAAAACTCAGCTTTGAAAATTTGACTTTTTTTCACATCTGTTTTACATAAAAGTTTATCAAATATTATAATACTATTTTTTTTTTCAAAAGCATTTTTACAAAAAAGTTTACCAAACACTCTACAACTTTATTTCACAGCCGCTTATTCTCACAGCATAGCAGAAGCAATTTTTTTTCAAAACACAGCAATACCAAACTAGCCCTTAGTCTCATTAACAGTAGTCCTTGTTCGCATCAAACACTGGCTAGCAATCCTAGCTAAGCCAGTTCAATCCAAGGAAGTTTAGTGAGGGCAAACAAACGGCCACTTATTTCTTTTTTAATACAAGCTCAATCTTTCACTTGCAATTAACTTTACAATTAAAATTTTATAATCCATATCTTTTAATCTTTTAATCTCTATTTGAATATTATATCTACCAAAAAAATTATTATAATTGTAGATCGTTTAATCATCTAAATGTATCAAAATAAATCAACGGTTTAGATACTAAGTAGCATATTTACAGTGAACTGTTGATTTGTTCGCTACATTTGAATGATTTAATGATCTTCGATTCAAATGATTTTTTTGTAGAGAATATCTAATAAAAATTAAGAGATTTAACAGTTTTTATTGATTATAAATTTTATTTTATTTTTTTAGAAAAAAAAAAGATCAGCTAATGGTTTTGCCACTGCACTTCACTATTTTGGGGGTCGAGAAAAACTCACAAAGATATTTCACCCTCTCCCTGATCACTATCATGTGATTTATCAGTACCAAAGATCAAATCTATAACATGCTATATAAATACGAACCTATAATTAGTTTTCGATCACTAAACCACTCTGTGGTCATTATCGATTATAAAATTATAGGGGCGAAGATTTTTGCATGTGAGATAATAAAGCATTATCTTTAATATAATATTGGTTGGAAAAATTAGGCTCATAGAAGCTATATAAAGCCTTAGGAGGGTGAAGTCACTATTGGGCAGCACTAGCACATGGAGTGAAAGGGAAAGGCATAGTGGCTGATTGGGGCCATACGCAACTTTCTGTTGTGGGGTCCCTCTCTTGCTTGAATGATGTTTAAATGCATCAACTTTTTATTTATTTATAAGATAAAACATGAAACAATGAATGGTCCTTCCCTTCATCATCAATTGATGAAACTACTTTTGACATGATACAAAGGTTTTTGGTGCGTAGTTTTTGGAAAATTCAATTATAAATGGGATCAGATTTAGCCGTCGTCGTTAACAATCATATCTAGTTCTACCAATTATACATGAATTATCACATACATACTTTAAAGGTTATGTATTAATTACTAATGCATATTCTTTTTGTGATATTTAAGCGAGAACGTACATCTAACATACAATCCGTTTATGATGTTCAGATCATATATAAAGATGTAAGATTCATTAAGTTTTGTGAAAATCTTTTGAAAAATCATGTAACTCTTAAGAGCGTGATGTTCGTCTTACGTGAAATCACAATTATCAATTACAAGAAGCTCTCCTCAATTTCAAAGTGATGTTCCAACAAACATTATATCAAATTACTTGTCTAAATATTTTAATGGTGATAAACCATTAAGACAATTAGATGGTTTATATGCAGGGATTAATAATTCAAAGCAAACATGTATAAATTCATAAGCGAATTGATAAAAGACTACATATTCCGATTAAGGCTCTTGACCTTGTTCTAGCAAAAATAAATTAATTACGCATAATCATGATTAAAAAGAAAAAATATCATTAAGAAGAAAAGATAGAAAACAACCTTGAAAAAAGAATACAACTCGCCAAAGCCTAGCCAAGTTTTCCAAATTGATGTGTAAAAAACCCTAATGGCGTATTAGTGCTTATAATTAGCATCTTATTCTCAAACCTACCTAAATAAGGCATTCTTAAAAACTAGGAAACAAAATAACAAAAGGATAACTTAAAATCACAAACCTAACATAACTAGGCAATCTGCCCAGTCCGAAACACTTCACGTTTCTAGACCAGACCAGCACCAAAACTCACCCAAAAGATCTTGTTTTGAATATTAAGATGTTCTCTACAACTCCATAAAAGGGCCTAACTCCAGAAAATGTCATCTTCTTGCTAAAAACTCACAATTAAGCCCAACAAATCAATATGCCAACACTACGCCTTGGTCCTTTAATCCTTCGCCATAATCAAATACTTTGGAATAAAAATGCTGAAATTTTGATATAACCTTCTTGACAGACTTTTGAATCTACTCCAACTGGAAATTCTCTCATTATTTTTTGCATAGAATAAGGTCACATCTCCTACATTTGAAATATAAAACAAAATATCAAATCTCACCAAATTACACTAAGAATATGGTAAAATATATAATATGAAATCGACTCATCAAAAGGTAGTCAGATTGTTTATTGTGTTATTCAATACTCTTAACGGGGAGTAAAATCTTCAAAACAGTAGGATTTTTAATTGGAATTAAAATCGAAACTAGTGTGGTGTTAGTTAAGCACCATCCCACGTTCAAATTATTTTCTTTGCAATTGTTAAATTCAAAGCAGTAAGCATGAGCTCATACGCAATTGCATTTTTACATGTTCACGAAAAGGATTTCTATAGTAATGCTTTTAGGGTCCTTGTGGTGTGAAATAGGTAAATTCTAAGGAAGTCCGAACCAGAAAACTTTTTTATGGTAGAATATAAGGTATAAAAGCTTGTTGATGGGAGGGTACGTCGGAGGAATCGGAGAAATAAGTTGGAATAGAGTACTCTGAGTCAAGTGAGTGAATATAAGTAAAATGGGTTTTTCTTCTTCTTCCACACGCTCCCACAAATTGTTGTGTCTTATCATAAGCCTAATTTGGGGAAAATCTGATTCAATATGGGGAACTTAGTTTTTGGGTGAGCAGTCTGCCCATGGTTACGGATGAGGATTCTCTTTATCGGGATTTGGAGAATCAATCAATCGTTTTCATTTATTGTACATTATACGGTTAATTTTCGTTAGGTACTATTTATTTGATTTTAAATAAAAAATTTAAAATGATTTCTGACCGCACAATGTATGATAAACGGATACAATTGATTGATCATCTGGATCTCCACAAGAGAATCCGGCTAGGATCCTAATCCCATGCTTACGGGCCATATAAGGACTTAACTTGCGTCCATGTTCACTTAACCATTTTGGTCCGTAAGGAGAGACAGATGCCAATTTTGCAAACCCTAAGAGCAATTTTTTTTTTTAACAAACAATATTATCTACACTAAGGGGGAGGAGATGAGTTTAGCTTTACAATGTGCTAGCAATCAGTGGTGAAGCCATGTGAGGGCGAGGAGTGGCGGCCGCCACTCCCCTCACCGGAAAACAAGTCTAGGAGCGGTGGTTTCGCCTTTCTGGTCCCGTCGAAAGTGCTTGTTGGTGCGGTGGTTCCGTCTGTTCTCATCCGGATCTGGATTTGTTGCTGATATGCAGCTCTGCTGCGTTTGGTTTTATATTTTTCTCAAAAGCCAGACCAAACGACACCATTTAGTCCTAGTTAAAAAATTTCCTTTAATGCAACGACATCGTTTAGTTATAGAATTGAAAAATAAAATTAATCAGATGGCAGCAGAACAGATCTCAGCAAGCAGCCTCATTCCCCTGCTACCAGACATTAAGGCTTCAACTTCAAGCTTTTAAGCCATCCAAGCTGCAAGCAGCCAGCCTCCAGCCGCCATTCTTGGCCCCCTTTCTCTTAGATGAAGTTTTTAATTTCCAAATTTATGTTAGCCTTAACCCTAATTGGTTATTTAATTTGAAATTTTGTTTATTTGACGTAGAATCATAGAGTAATTAATCAATATGGTTATTAATTATTGAATATGAATATGAAATCTTATAATTATTGATGAATAAACTTGTTATTTAAAGTAAAAATTGAATTCTTGATTATTCTCATTGATATTGATTAATTGAATTGAATTTTGTCTAATGAATAATTTATATGATATTGGTATTGATTAAGAATCTAAGACTTTT